AGTCGAGTTTTGCGGAGTTGTGTTGCCTCGACAACTTGGACAAGCTCTGAGTAAGGAGCAATAGTAGAGGCTGGAGGATCAAGTATCACCAAGGGTGTCTCCTTAGTCGAACTTTCTCCTTTGGCTTGTTTCTTCATTGCCTCAGCTATCTTAGAAAATTTAACCTTTTCAGGAGCCATACCTACATAAAAGAAAGAAAAAAAATTAAAAGGTGTCAAAACAATTGAACGACAATTACCCAATATGCACAAGCATACTAGATGGAGATGGGTTCGGTCTCATGGGTTTGCTAGGCAAGTAAACGGGATATCCTTCAGCTATTACTCGCTTCACATCCACTAATCTTAGTCCTCTAGCTTTAATAAGCTCTACACATTGCTGATCTTCAGGAGTTGGCACAGTAGGGAGGTGTTTGGTAGGATCATTTGACCATTGGTTCAATACTCCGAGCCCCCTATGATACTGTAAGATAAAGTACTTCTGCTTCTAATTCTTCAAGGAAGAAATTTTGGATTGTTTGTTGAAAATGTTGCAATTATTCTCTGCCTGAAGAAAGTAGTGTTCCTCGTTAATACGATCACACAAGTGAGAAAGCTCCTATACCCCCAAGCTGTAAGGACAGTCCCGTCACTGCGAGCTAATTCTACTATAGCACATAAAAGCCTTAAACTGTTGGGATAGAGTTGGACTGATGGTGATATCATAATCATTAAAGAAAGATTTCAAGGGCTCGGACAAAGGTAAACGAACCCCAGAACGAAAGTCCTACTAATATAACATAATCGAATCACTATCCAGAGGCTCATTTACCCTCATATACTCCGAAAGGCGAGTTAATTTGTATTCCGGCGCAAGATTGTACATAGAACATATATCCAGGAGTTCGCCTTCATCAATATCAGAAGGGACATTAGCGATCCTAATATTCTCTTTACTACAATTCACTTCGCCAGCCTTGGATTCAGTAACTTTAACATTATCTTCCACACGACCAAAAGAAGAAACTTCAGACCGAACAGCCAAAACTCGAATATCCTCATCACTAGATGAACCCTTGATCCCGACAAAAAAATAGAAGAAATGACAGAAGAATAGAAGAAATGAGCAAAGTTACAAAACCTACTGAAATGAAGAAAGCTAGAAAAAGAAGAGAATAATTTTAGAGAGAGACGCTTTGAAGATTAAAATCAAGCAAGTAAGGAAAATGAGAAGAAGAGGAAGCTATATATAGAGGAGGTAGATACTGAAAAGTCACTTCCATTTAATGAAGTCCCTTCTAGAGAAATGTAATGCCACCTCTTTTCTCTAAAAAAGAGCCGTTCAAATATTGGGTCGGGTAAAAGACCCATACCCAAACAACATTTTAAAAAAATCAAATTATATATATATACCAAACCTCTTTCTCTAAAAAAGAGCCGTTTTCAAATATTGGTCGGTAAAAAGGACCATACCCAAACAACATTTTAAAAAAAAATTCAAATTATATATAATATGTTATATATATATATATATATTATATAAGGAAAATAATATATCCATCAATAAATAATATATATATAAGAAATATATATCCATCAATAAATAAATGGTGTATAATAATATTTGCACATAAATGACCAAATAAATAAGGGGGACTGCTGATAATGTATAATAATAATATATACAAAAGATTAATATACAAATCTTAAATTCCTAAATAAACTCTAACTAACAGATAACATAGGATTGTTATTATCCTTATCCCAATATAATTACTCCTCTTCTAATATATTTTTCCCAAATCAATTATAGCAAAGGGCTAATTTTCAATTCCAATAGTTAACAATTTGTTTTATTTATTAGACTCCAACTTTATTGATTTTGGCAAAATAATATTTTTTTTTAATAAAATTTTGCCAAAAAATGTAAATTTAAGCCCTTTTAGGATTACATGTTTGAAAATTTATTAAGAATAAAAAATAGGAATTATGAAATAATTTTCCTTCACAATATTTTACAAATATTAAAAGTAAACATGTAGTTAATCTAAAGAATATGCCTTTTTTTAATTAAATAATTCATTGAGTAAATCAAATTCTATTGAAATTGTTGATATAGGCATTTCAGTCTTTTTATTAATTTCATATCCATTCTTTTACTAAATACATGATCAAGAATCTTATTACCTATTAGTATTCCATTCCATTCCATATTTTATTTTTTTGATGTGTACTAAACGTGGCCTTGCAATACTCTATTCTCAACTAAAAATTGAACTAAATTGACTCAAACACAGAAAATTGGTGATGTATTTGTGAAAGACTTGTTGAGCATGTCAGTGATTGCTTGTTAAACATTTGATGAGATTTGATCTTGCCGTTTGAGATGGGGGTATAGAACACCAAAAGAGTCAGTTGTTGATAATGTGATTGTTGTTAGGAGAGCTTGCCAAATGAGTTGGAAGCTGCTCACGAGTGCAATGTTGAAATATGTAAAAGCTCGGCGGAAGGAATACCAGACTGCATTTGGTATTTTAGGCCGTGGGCAATGTTAAGGAAGAGTTAAGCTCGGAGGAAGGAATATTAGTCTACAGCTGATATTTTAGGCCGTGGGCTATGGTAAAACAAAATTTTAAACCTGGTCGATAGACTATCATCATAAAGAATGATATGTCAGACCGTGGGCAAATGCAGAGAAGAGAAAAGAAAAGAGATCAAAATGGACTGCCTAAGATGAGCTAAGATATTTGTGTTTTGTCAAAATGGATTGCCTCGGATGAGGATTCAGGTAATTATTCTAGAAATTTGATTACTGATCAGTTTGGACTTAGAAAACCGATTGATTTTCAGTTTTAGTTTAGTTACCATGTATAACTAATAAAATTTATTCTTAAGTTCAACATAATCAATTTGATTTGACCCATCGGTGTTATCTAGTTTTTTTTAAGTCAATTTAGTAATTGGTCATGTGTTTACAATTGACTGATAAGTGTTATTTTTATAGTATTTTTAATACTGTTTTTATTAGGATTTTTATTTTTTTTTTGATTACTTTAATTAGTTTTTATTTAATTTTATTTATGTTTTTGTTTAAAGCTTCCTTGAATCACATTTTACTTGATGTTGGGGAATTTTGTTGCATTTTTATAGAAAACTAGCCAAAAATACAGAAAGTGTACCTAAGCAAAAAGGTTGGCACGCCTTGGGCGTGTTATCCATCACCCCCGTGCTATGTTCAAGATAAATTCAATAGAGGTTCAAAGTCTAGTACACCCAAGCCGTGCCAGATAGCACGCTCGTGCTGAATGCCTGACTTCTTATTGGGCCGAAAACGATAACTCTAGCCCGTGCCACTTGCATGGACCCATATGAGATGCTTTTCTGACGTGCCAATCAAGTTTAAATCCTATTTAAATGCTGGAAGAGTCCTAATTGGGAAGAAATACAAAGCCTAAATAGTTTCCTAAGTTTAAATCCTATTTAAATGCTTGGAAGAGTCCTAAATTGGAAGAAATACAAAGCCTAAAATAGTTTCCTATTTCCAAAAGATTTCTTACTCAAAATAGAGATTTCTTACTCAATAGAGATTCACTTTCCAAAACTTACACGAGGATATTCCAGAAAGTCTATATAAAGAGAGAGACTAGCCATGATCAGGGGTCAAATCCATTCACTGTATATTCCATCTCTTGTTCTATTATTTTCTACATAGAATTCAAGTATTCAAGATTGGTGTCAAGAGTCAAGGAAGTCGTTCAAGTCTATCGTTGACTAGTTTTTATTTCTAAACTCTCTTTTTGTTTATTATTCTTTATGGGAGTATTTACAAGTTTAATTGAGTTTTATTTAATTACTATGTCGAACCAAACTCCTATACTAGGGATTTGATGTAGCTTAATTTCTTTTCCAATTTATAATATTAGATTTGTTTTTCTTTGTTCAAAGTATAATTTATTATTAAGTTATAATTTATTATTAACTTAATGCTTCCAGGCAAGAGTTTTCCCTTGAATTGATTTATTTTCATCCCTTGAATTGATTTATTTCATTAATCACTATCGGGAGAAGGGTTTTTGATATGAAAAATGTAATAAATTACATGGGAATAATAACTTGATGCAGAATCCATATGGTTTGACTCATGTGGGTTTTCATAAGTTAACGACCTTAGGTTATCAATTCATAAACAAACTATAAAACTTAATGATTCAATTTATGTTTGATTGCACTATTGGAAGATAGGTAATTAGACAGAGTTAAAATAGCTAATAATACATTGGAAGAGCTTGTTAGTGATTTTAGAGTTATCTCCCCTACTTGAACAATTAAAACTAATTAACAAACTAATAAAATAAATTGAATAGAATTAAGTGAAATCAAAATCTCTAGTAGTTTTTAATCCTTGTTGGTTTTTTTTCATCGAATTTGACAAACTTACATTGATTTCTTTATTCTCTTTTAAACTCATAATAGAATTTCGGTTAATAATAATTCTCCCATTTGCCATCTGAAAGTAGTTTTTAATCCTTGGTTTTTTTTCATCGAATTGCCTTACTTGATTTCTTTTATTTCTCTTTTACTCATTTAGAATTTCGTTAAAATAATTCTCCCTATTGCCATCTGAATAATAGTAAGTTAAAACAATTTTGATATTTGGTATACAATTCTTATGGGACGATACTCTACTTATTTTTTACTACTTGTAGCGATTTCGTACACTTGCGAAAAAGCCTGTCATTGACCTAATCCATGGCTTACATTTGGTTGACAGAAACTACTTAGAAAGACGAAAATGAAAGAAAAAAGGGCCACCAACTTACTTGGAAAGACCCTAAATCCTAATGGGTTAATAAGCGCGTACCTTTAATGGGTTCTTGGAAATTTCTTAACAATATAGAACCTGTTTTTGTCCAGTCTACGAAGGTGGAACGAAAGAGAGGAAAGAAAAAGAAATTATTTTTTATGGTGAATATTTTAGAATTTAGTAGAATTGCAAAAATGCAAATTTCTGATTATAAATACTAATAAAATCAAAGACACAGTAGCAGATTCTGATTAGCAGCAAGAAAGAAATGAATTGCTTTATTTTCCGGCAAGAAAGCTCTTTTGACATTCAGCATCCAACAACAAATCTATCATTAACCACCAAACAAACAACGATCTCTGATACAAACTCTTTCTCTCTAAATTCCTTCTCTCACTCTGTTTCCTCTCCATCAGCCAATTCATTGACCATCGACACGGCTGAATCGCGTGTGGGCTCAGTTTCTCGTGCACTAGCAGCAACATATGAGGCACAGAATTCCGGCGATGGTCCGTCAGTAACTATCCAGAAACGGCCGCGTTTCGGGTGGACGCCATGTCCGATTTCAAATGACGAGTTTGATAGGCATATTTCCTGCAATCTAAATCTGACTCTTGGACCTTCTACACTTCAAGCCAATAGGAGTCCTTATTCAGCTGGGATGCCTGATCCGCATCAGGAATTTCCCAAATCTCCAGAACTAAAGTTTAATGATAATGGTAAAGAATTTCATATGTTGGTTATTTCTGATGGCAGAAATGGTAATCAAGGGCCTGTCACAAATGATGTACCCCAGGACCGGGATTTGGAAGTATCCTCGGATTTTCTGAGGTAAATATAAAGAAATAGGCTATTTTAGTTTTTGTCGTGCCGTCGTAGCATCAACCCTTTTTGGGATCATCTATAGTTACGGTTTCAGAGTATTGAGTTGATGTTTGTTTTTCCTGGTATTTTCTTGTCGCAGTGCAAATCATATTGCTGAGGCTATGGCTATGCGCTCGCAAATAGAAGTTCAAAAACGGTTGCATGAACAACTTGAGGTATGCCATACTTTGTATTAACTGAAGGCAAATGAACAGGGTATATACATATATGGAATTAAAAAAATTACCAGGAATTGAAATTTAGATATCTATTCCCAAATGCAATATTCATCCAAAAAATATATTTGAATATGCTTGACATAGGTACAAAAAGCCCTTCAGCGACGGATTGAGGGACACGAAAGGTATTTGAGAAAGATCATCAATGAAGGATACTCCAAAATAATTAAGGGGGATGAGGAAAAATTTTAAAAATAATTAAAAGGGGGCCAAAACAAAAAAAAAGAAAATGTTTTGCAAGGCTTAAAAAAATTTCTAGATGTTGGTTGGTCTGGTTCTTCTCAGTGGAAGAATAGCAGAAAACTAGTAGTGCCGTTCTTTCCCTCAGAAGCTTGTCATTGCCATCGTCGACCAATTCATATCAGGACTCCGAGCTGTAGCCACCACCTTCCCCCAATGGTTGTCAATCAACGTCCCCAATCAGATGAGCCTAAACATAGTAACTTGTCATCAGTCTCATCATTATCATCAAGTAGAAAGCCACTGATAGCTGTAACTCTGCAAAACGAGCATCTGATAAGAAGATCTGTGTAGAAGAGAAATCAGAATCAACAATAGGAAAGGGTGTGGTTAAAAATCAGATCATATCTTAATTATAAAAGCATTTGTCAAAAAAATTGTGAATATGTTGTGTTTCCCTAAATGCAGTGAGTTGAAAATGATTGTGGTGGCCCCAAATAGTTTAATATCTAGATTTCTCCGGTTCATCCGATTTCACTTATGATTTTTTTTAAGTCAATTCAAATTGAAGCAACAGCAACCTTCAGTTCATGTTTTAATTGATCCGTGTCATAAGTATGAAGAAGGGAGTTAGAAGGAAAGAAATTCTATGAGAATGTTTATTTCAGTGTATTAGAAAAAGTACAAGTGAGCCTGTTTATATAATAGCAATACAGAGGAGTTAGTCCTCTCTTCTAGCTGATTCACAAGCATAATAACACGAGTAAATTAAGATTACTTAATTTAATACCGTTTCTATGACATTAGGTGCTCCAAATAAGGGCTTCCACCAAGGTATGAAGCTCATTTGATTCAATATTTTAGAGGCCAGCCTCAGCTCAACCCAAATGACATAAAAATGGGAGGCACTCAACCAGAGACAGATAGGCACTGAGATACTTTCATCCCATCTCATTTTGGGGCAGAATCAATTGCTTACTTCACTTCTCATACCTGACAGTGACACCATTCAGTTGCTACTTGCAGATCATTCTCCAAGCAAACTTTGAATGAACTCTTATAAGGGGTTGCTCTCTGCTAAAACTAAAACTAAACAATCAGTAGTTTTATATGCAAATGCCACCACTTACGTGGGCCTACTAGCAAGACAATAGTTAAGTCAGTTCCTTTGCCCTGACATTATCCTTGACAAAACATGTTAATTGTTTTTGACTCAGATCAACTGTGCTTATCTGAAGCAATGTTAAGGTTTTATGGAATCTTAACAAATCAATTATTAGTCAGTTGATGACTGAAACTTGTTCAACCAGCAACATGTTCTCTGCTTTCGTTAGGAGTCATCATTTGTTTCAAAAAGTCGATTTTTCAAAAGCTGGGATTTCTGAGAACCAATTCAGTTTGCTATCTATTTTCGCAAATGCCAATAGCATTTAGAAACATTAATCTTTTTGATTGCACATTTGAACCACCAAAAAACATGATGCACTGTTACCTAAGGATGCAGACATAACCATGACTTCCTTGGTGTATTCTACAATTCAATTCAAGTTAATCACACAAAAACAATATGCAGCTCCAAAGGAGCATTTTGCAATTTCGTCTCCATAAGATTTGTTGCATTATGGACCTTATTGTAGCAGCAGCATCCAAAGTAAAGGGCCCAGTTAAGACGATTTAATTTCATATAAAAGGTTTCACATCACAACAATTATCAAAATTTAGAAAGTGCTTTTTACCTATGCAATGGAAATTTTCGTACTCCTCTAGGCAGGTATCAGAGCCCCAAAAGAGTAAGGAGGAGACAGAGACAGAGTATCATATGCAGACTGAAACAGAACACGTGTTAGATACAGGTCCATTTAGGATGCGAAGGAAAAAGATGTATCTTCAGCATACAAAAGTCTCATAGAGGAATCATGTATACTGTAGACCAAGTAACTTCAAATCCTTTCGGAAATTTCACTGTTTTCAAGCACTACGACATGAAAACTAAAACTTACCTGAGTAAAGATAGCTTCAGCATTGAAAATATGCAAACCACTGGCAATTTCCTTGGCTGCAAAGCTGTCAGCTATCAATAAAACAACAAATCCTGCTAATTCAGTAGCCAAGTATGTAACAACAGCATTGACTGTCATTGGCATGTCAATTGCCATCGCATCGCCCTTTGTAAACATTGCATCTAGTGCATTAGCCACCAACTGCAACTCAACATGTATAAGTAGAAAATGGTAAAAACTCTCTTTTGTCACAATTTTACAAAGTGAAAATATTATTTATAGTTTCTTTAACTTCTTTTAGAAACAGCCCATGATAGAATTGGAACCGAATTATAAATCAGACACCCATTTGAATCCAATGTTAACGAAATTATTATCATTCTATCATGTTACCCTATTGAAACCGAAGCATAGAGCATACAAAAAAAAAAAAAAAAAAACTATTAGATTTTAACTTACTTTTAGAAACAACCCATGATAGAATTGGGAACCGAATACTAAATCAGGACACCCATTCTGAATCCAATGTTAACGAATATCTATTGAGTTCATTCTCAATCATGTTACCCTATTTTGAAAACGAAGCATAGAGCAACAAAAAAAAAAAAAAAAGAACTATTAAGATTTTCGTACCAAGGACATGGAATATTCATTATTAACCTGTTCTTGAAAAGTTCTTTCAAATTCATATATTCACTTTTGGAATATATCATTTTAAAAAAAAAAAAAAAAAGAACTATTAGATTCGTACAAGGACATGGAATATTATATAACCTGTTCTTGAAGTTCTTTCAATGTCATATGATTCACTTTGGAATTATCATTTTCATCTCTCTACACAATTGCTACAATCTCATCTTTTTTTCTAGGATGACTTGCAGACTGCAAACAGCATTCAGCAGTATTCAGAACTGAACCTGGCAGCCATGTTCTCCGATGTTTCAATTTGTCAGTGGTGTCAAGAGTACACTTTTGGGCTTGATGAAATACAAATGAAAGCTCTCTTAGAACAATTGACCAATAAGCCTGGAAATCATTTGTAAGCACCAGATTGAGTAGAAAATGCAACTTACAAAAGACAAAACACTTCATTCTCTTAGTTTTACCTAAAATGATATACACAGATGAAGTAATTGCTTACTTCAGGATATTGAATAGAGTATTTCTGAAAGAGGTTAAAATTTGTTACAAAGAACCTACGAACCTAGGTCCATTGATTTCCCCTGCACGTCCTAAGTTTGTTCCTTTTGAGTGACGTCTGACATACATATAACAATTGGAAATTTGAATCAGTTAGTAGAAGATAACCAGTGTTTGACTTATTGATTGAGCATCTTATTGCTCTGGTTCGGTTTCGGTTTCATGAAGTCCAAAATGATAAACTTTAAAACTGAACCGAAAAATTAACTAAAAACAGACTGACCCAGTTAGGTTTGAGTCGATTTTGGTTTTAAAAGTTCAAACTAATTGATGCCACAGCAATCAACTAAATTTTGCATTGATCAATTTTTATTATTCTCAATGATTGCTCTCATTTTGAACCCTAAATGAATTTCAACATCACGTTATAATTCTCAGTAGTTTGACGTAAATAGATAGCCTAATTAAGTCAGAAAAAAAGAAAATTTCTACTAATTCCGACAGTAGACTTTTTCCAACATTTTTCTAGAAATAATAAGAGTAAAATTAAGAAATAATAAGAGAGAGGTGAGAAAAAATATATAAATTTGACAAACTTACCCTTGTCTTCTGCCACAAGCTCGAGCAAGTTTGCAGATTTGCCAACTTCCCTCTTTCCATGTAACAGTGGACTCACGACAAATTAATTATTTTCCCTGTACTTAATATATATGCAACATAACAGCTTCATATCCTTTAGAAGCTTTTATTACAACAAACTAAACAATAATCCTACTCTCTTACCTAATTAAAAATGGCTTCACCTGTAAATATCCCCGACTAGCCACTGACTCCAGCCGCCCAGAGGCAAACACCATAGTCCACTGCGTATTTGGCGTTAAACACCACATGGACATTGACACTATGAAAACAACCATAGAAAACACTCTCATGTGCCTTTAGCCAAGATTTTGCAGTCTTTTTGTCCATGACAAGGATGTATTCGAGCTTTGGAGAAGAGAAATAAATAAAAATACACAGAGATGGTGGAGGTGGAGATGATGAAGGCGGCGGTGGAGAAGTTGGCGGAGGTGGGGATGTTGATGGTGGAGGGATCTTCTATTTTAATCACTGGGCTCTCTTTCGGCCGTTTCTGCTTCGTTTCTTTCGGGTACTCTCACTTGGCGTGCTTTTGGGTCCTCCAGGTTCCTCCTCGTTGCCTCGTTTCTTTTTTTCTTTTTTTTCTTTTCGTTTTTAATGGGTTTTGTGGTTGATTACAATATTCAATTGTTTTCTTTTTCTTAAATTGTTATTTATTTGGCTTTGTTCTATAATTGTTTTTATGTTTATATTAATAAACTGATTGATTGGTTATTAAAGGGTATCTTTTTCTTAATTGATTTTATCATTTTTTTTTTTTTAATATATTGTTGTACTTTCAGGCACTACAGCTACAAAAGATAAAATGGCGCAAAAGGGAGCAAAGGAGAGTAAAAAGGGGACCAAGCTCGAGTTAAAATGACCAAGGGTGTTTTTGTCATTTCATTATGACTTAATAGAAAAATGGGACCAAGCATGGTTAAGGAAATGCCAAGAATGGTCCAATTGGGGCCATTGGGCGTGATCCAATTGGAGTTGGGTTTCATGAGCGCCAATAGGCAACCCAAAGGTATCCAACTCCTATCACTAATTGTGCTTAAATTACCAAGCTACCGCAGTGGGCGGAGAACGGAAAGCTGAAGCTCCGCCCACAGACCAGCCCATATATCGTGGTTATATTCCCATCCGATCACTGCACCAGATACCCCCTCTCCCTCTCTATTTCTCTGTTAATCCAGCTCTCTTTCCATTCTTCCATTTCACCGCACCAGATCTTATGCGGATGCAATTGAAAATAATAGAAGCACGCAATCAATTTTCATCAGTAATGATGAGTAAAGAACAAGATTTAGCAGAGAAGAACCCAAAAACCCGTTTCTGCCGGTTCTCCCGATTTCTGGATTTGTCCGGTTTGTATAGAATCAATCTGATTTTTCAAGTAAATTCAGATTGATGCGACCCACCGGTACCATTCAATTTTTTAAAACATCGGTTTGACAAATTACCTAATCAAACAAATATGAGCCACTAACCACTTACTTTAATTACTTTTTGTATTAGCCGTTGGTTCATGAGAAATTACTCAGAAAGACCAAAATCAAAGACCCTCAAGGCTCTAGCACTATAAGTTTCGGATTAGCATCGATTCTCTTCGAAATAAGTTTCGGATTAGCATCGATTCTCTTCGAAGACAAAAGAAGAAATGAATTGCTTTGTTTTCCAGCAAGAAAGCTGTTTCCAAAATCAGCATCCAAAAACAAATCTATCACTAACCACAAAACAAACAACAATCTCTAATACAAACTCTTATTCTCTAAATTCCTTCTCTTACTCAGTTTCCTCTCCATCAGCAGATTCATTGACCATCGACACGGCTGAATCGCATGTAGGTCCAGTTTCCCGTGTAGCAGCAGCAGCAACAACATATGAGGCCGATTCATCCTGCGATCTAAATCTCACTCTCGCATCTTCTACACTTCAAGCCAATTGGAATCCTTTGGAATCCTTATTCAGCTAGGCTAGGACGGCTGTACCACATCACGAATTTCGCAGATCTCGAGAATCAAAGTCTAATGATAATGGTAAAGAATTCGATATGATGGTTAGTTCAAATCACAGGAATGGTGGAAATGGGGACAATAGTTTATCTTCATCGAAGGAGGCCTCAAATAACTTTCAAGCGCCTACCGCTGCAATTGCTAGAGTAAACGATTTATTCTGGGAACGGTTTCTAACTGAACGGCCTAACAATCAAGAGCCTGCTGCGGTAAATGATGTATTACCGGCTGTACCTGCTAGAGTAAACGATGAATTCTTGGAACAGTCAAACGATGAATTCTTGGAACAGTTACTCGCTGTAGTTTGACGTAAAGTAATTCAATTGAATTTTTTATAAAATTATATTCGGAATTATTCTTAAATAAAAATTTATTTGTCTTTAATTACTATAAATATACTTAATATAATAATTTAATAAAAATAAATAATAAACACCGTTTATATTCTATTATATGTAATATAATAACTTTATTTTAAATAATAGAATTCATATAAATAAATGCAATCACATCTCATCCTAATTAATTAAGTATTAATATTATATATAGGTTTCTGTGATATATATTATAATTATAAAATTCTTGAAAATAGTTGCAATTAAATTAAATATTATATGATTAAGAGTATAATTTTAATATATGATAATTTATTAGGGCACAATTGATAAATTTAATCAAGTTTAATCAATATATTAAATTTATGTCATTTCTTAAATATCTTGAAAATTATTGCAATTAAATTTAAATAATTATATTGATTAAGTATTATATGATTAAGAGTATAATTTTAATATATGATAATTTATTAGGGCACAATTGATAAATTTAATCAAGTTTAATCAATATATTAAATTTATGTCATTTCTTAAATATTCTTTTACACGACGTAACGAAAAAATGAAAAAGCCGTTAGAACTTTTAACGTGGACTGATGTTCTTGGAGATGTTAACTTATAAGTGAAGCTAGTGTAGCTTAGTCCATACCCAAATGGGTAAATTGTAGAGCCGTTAAAGAATTTGTAAGTTCGACCTGGATAGTTTAATTCATCATTTGGCCTCAATTGGTAGTTGATCAACATAATCAGCTTTATGCCAAGTAAGTGGTAGTCTTCCTCCTGAACCAAAATAAAAAAATTACAAAATTACAAAATTACAAAAATTATTAAAAAAATTTCTTAATTAAAAATTATTAGTCAGTCAATTACCAGGATTGTATTTTCCAAAAACAACATCTGCAATGGCCTGACCTAGGCACACCAAAAATTATTAAAAAAATTTCTTAATTAAAAATTATTAGTCAGTCAATTACCAGGATTGTATTTTCCAAAAACAACATCTGCAATGGCCTGACCTAGGCACACCAAAAGCAACATGTCCAAGCCGCTGAACCTTTTCTCGCAATGTCATGTGGTTTACTAAGTTTTTAGCCCTAACTTCATAGGGAAGGGACTTGTCACAGAAAGCAAAATTTACCATGTCCAACCCAAGGGCAGCATACCAAAAAGGTTCACACACATAAGTGAAGTTACTCCCACTAAAGGAAGCATCATTTTTGCCTAATGTGTTGGTGTCTAACGCAAAAAATGAAAATGGCTTTTTCAGTCCATTTCTAGCTGCTGTAGCAGAAATGACAAAGAAAGCAATAAATATCAGATAGATGATGAGAGTAGAACTTAAGCTTTCCGCCATAGCTTTTTTCGGTTATACAGAGGTGCTTATGGTTCTAAGACTGGTTTTGTTAATTTATAGGCAATTCTTGATTTCTTTTTGCCTCGTTGGGTTTGAATATCTTGAAACTTTCTAATTAAGCCGTTGGAGTAAGATTTCCAGTTAAGATAATATATAACATTGATTTTTTAATTTGTATATATATGCATAGAACTTAATCTTTTGTTGTCTTTTTATTTATAAAGAAAAAAAAAAGGATTATTGAATGTTTATCCAATAATATCATTCTTGATCTGTTGTTGTTTGGAAAATCTTTTCCTTACATAATTACTTTTGAAACAACAAAACAATGACTTGAATTATTTACAAAGTACTCTACTAATAACAAGTTATAGACACTCCTAAATTTATGGAATGATCTCATGTTATCTTGGAATAAAGAGCAAGGTTAAAACCACAAACATCTTGAAATTAAGACAACATCCTGGAATATGCTTGAGGCCTTCACATATAAAAATTTCAGAAAATTAATTCTTTAAATATTTACTACTTACATTTTAAGAAGTTCCATCAATAAATTTAAATTTTCATGCTTTCATACATGAGCCACCTGCCATTTTCCACCTCTAAATGGAAGGAAAAAACGCGAATTTCAAGAACCATTGCCTTATTTCCAGGATCCTATCCAGAAATGTTTCAAGAACCAGATAAATTCACTGACAACCTGTTCATCTTGTGGACACTATATTCATCCATTTAGAAGGATATGTTAGGTGAATATGCCACCGCTATATTTTACTCCGTAGGGATAACTCAAGCTTCATTTGATCCCTCAAAACTCTCCTTAATAACTTGTTAGAAGCAGTTCGAGGAAACTCAGGCACAACCTTAACCAAGCTCACCTGTCAACAATCATAGTTCAGAATCCGAACGAAATGCATCAGCAACTCAAAATAAAATAAAGCTCTTTGATAACGGGCACCACTATGTAAGTGTAGCAAATTGTTTAGTTTGATTGTCATGTGAAATATACTACACTATACCCCTAATTTCCACCAGACTGGATACCCCTAATTTCCACCAGACTGGTATGTGTGTATTTCTTTCCTGCTTTGTGGTTTAGTAGTCAATAGTATCACAAGCCAATTCTCAAACAACAAACTAGATCTGTCTACCCAGTTCAATCAAGGTTAGACCATTTGCGGTAGGACGAGAGGTTTGCAAAGAAGGAAAATAACTCTCATCTAATTAGGCGAGATTAGAATCTTGGTCAACAAAAATGGAAAGTAAACCCACTTGTCAATTGGACCAACAGTTAGAGTTAATAAGTCAGTGTTGGATTAATGCTCTGATACTACTTGTTGAATATTAACACAGTGATAAACTCCAAGATTGATTAATAATTTATAACACCAAGAATAATAACGGGAAAGGCAACCAGAATAATACTAACACAAAACACCAAATATAATTGTATTAATAAGAAGCAAACATTCACAAAGCTAAGGAAATGATTACTTACTTGATTTTTGCATGGTGTTTGCTTGGTTTGCTTGGCTGTTACAAATGAGGTGAGGGGTGGTATTTATAGGCATTTCCACCTCCTCTATGTACGGCTAAGATTTGTCTACAAAAATGGACGGTTTAGATTATATGGAGAATTCTAGAACTATGTTGACATTATACAAAATATGTTTTGGGTGGAGTAATTTGGAGTATTCTAGAATGTGGGCTTGAACCTCCAACTTTGGGCTTAAGGCTTCCCAAGTCTTGGCTTATTATAGCAATGGTAACTAAATTAATCGGTGATATTTTAATAGTCAGTTTGTGAGCTAATGAAATAATTATCTCGATAAAGAAGAAAATGATTTGTGTGGTGAGGAGCACCAGCCACATGTGCATACTAAAGAAAACAATGTGCATACTAAAGAAAACACATTAAATTGCCAAACCTTAAACAAAGGATTGAGGTTGCTTTGGATGGCTTTGGAGAATTTCATTTTCAACTTGTCTGGTTCACCATTAAATCCCTTCTTTAACACCACAAAAATTACCAAGAGTTCTGGACCACCATCAACTGGCGCTACACTAATTGCAGCAGTCTCCATGATGCTTTCATCGGCCCGATCGCACACGTGCTCAATTTCAACACAACTTGTCTGCATAACAATGAAAAGTTAAAATTTATGGGCTTCACAAAATTAGACATCAATCTAAATACAATAGATGAAGTATCAAAAGCAAAACTACTCCTTTCTGTTGAGGATGTTGTACCTTAATGCCACCAAGATTCATGGTGTCATCAGCTCTGCCCTGTACAATGAAATAGCCCCCAACAGTTCTCTTAAGGATGTCTCCATGTCTTCTTAGGTGCTGTAAATCCATATGTGAAAATCTCAAATATAACAATTAAGCCATGGGCAGTTAAATGCTTTATTACATTTCCTTAGCTACAGGGATTTGATAGTTCTCCAACAATAGGCAGGCTACTAAATGCTAGATGGAGATCTAACAGAACAACTGAAATTTATTGAAGCTTTTACTTAAGCTATTTGATGGCTTTGATGCAACTGATGCCCACAACATTGATATAACAGCAAAACAGAAGTGACATCAACATTTATGTGCCATTACCTGACTAAGCAACGTATCATTATCCAATAGTGCTGGGTTTAACGGGCTCAGCAACAGTAACGCCAATAGTACTGTTTACTACCAACTTTGAGTTATTGTTTTACTATTCACCACTGAGTCGATTCTATAATGCCTTTCCGAGCGGACAGCACCGATGGACTCGTCGTAATTTTCTTATCGTCGTGGTATATTTGTTTTCAAAATATACGAGCGGACAGCACCGATGGACTCGTCGTAATTTTCTTATCGTCGTGGTATATTTGTTTTCAAAATATATCCACGGATCCGGTACCACTATCTGACCCGCTAGACCTGCCGAAACCTTCGGCTCTGATAATACCAGTTGTTGAGAAAAAATTACGCAAAATCCTCTTTACGAGGGAGCAAAAGAAAATAATAACACACAATTTGATAACGGAGTTCGGCCAATCTTGCCTACGTCTCCGGACTGCCACAGATCTTTTATAGAAGAAAAATAAATAGTGTTTACATACACTCACAACACTCTTTCAAGAAAAATTAAGTTTAATTTTTCTTCTTGAATAATATCTTCTTTATTTTTCTCTCTCACAATTGCTCTCACTCTCTCTCTTTTTTCTTATTGGTGTGTATTGAAGAGGAGAGAAGGACGCGTAAATAACGCGTCCACCGATTCTTTTCAAAGAAAACGTGTGTACTGTAAAAACATTTTCCTCTTTCTTTTTTTTTTTCTTCATTCAAAGCGTATGGGTCCCATTTAACTGGGCACACCACAACCAACTTTGACAGTTGGTTCATGAGAAATTACTCAGAAAGACCAAAATCAAAGACCCTCTAGGCTCTAGCACCATAAGTTTCGGATTAGCATCGATTCTCTTCAAGACAAAAGAAGAAATGAATTGTTTTGTTTTCCAGCAAGAAAACTGTTCCCAAAATCAGCATCCAACAACAAATCTATCACTAACCACAAAACAAACAACATTCTCTGATACAAACTCTTATTCTCTAAATTCCTTCTCTTACTCAGTTTCCTCTCCATCAGCAGATTCATTGACCATCGACACGGCTGAATCGACGCTGAATCGGCATGTAGGCTCCAGTTTTCCTGTGTAGCTAGTACAGCAACAACAGATGAGGCCGATTCATCCTGCCGACTAAATCTGCACTCTCGCCATCTTCTTACACTTCAAGCCAATTGGAATCCTTAATTCAGCAGACGGCTGCTACCACATCCACGAAATGTTCGCCAATCTCGAGAATCAAAGTCTTAAATGATAATGGGTAAAGAATTCGATATGCAGTGTTATTTCAAATCACAAGAATCGGTGACAACATGGGGACACGAATGTTATCTTCATCGAAGGAGGCTGACAGCGGTTTTTTTTTTTTTTCGCAAGTGTTACGAAATCGCAACAAGTATTTAGAGTAAGAAAGTATCGCTATCCACAGGGGATTGTTTATCAATTACCAAAATTATGTTAACACCATTATATTTTAGACGACGATAAAGGAGATCGCTGTAAGGTAAATAAAATTTAACAGTAAAAAATAGAAGAGATCAAAACAACAAAATTCAAAACACAAAATTTAGGTGAAAAGAAATCAGAGGATTAAGCTACTAGGGAATTTGATTTCACTTAATTCTATCCAGCTTATTCTATTAGTTTATTAATCAACTATAATTGTTCAAGTAGGAGAAACAACCTTAAAGTTACTAACAAGCTCTCCCGATTTATTGTTAGCTATTCTAATCCAGTTTAATTACCTATCTTTAATAGTGAAATTAAACGTAAATCAGATTATTAGGTTTTGTGGTTGTTTTGTGAGTTCACAACTTAATACTTTATTAACTTATGAAAACCCCCCTTGAGTCAAACCATATAGCGCATCAAGTTACTATTCTCAAGTAATTTATTATCTTTTTCATATCAAAAACCCTTCTCCCGATAGTGATTAATGAAATAGTTCAATCCAGGGGAAAAATTCTGCCTGGAAGCTGCCTGGAAGCATTAAGCACAATAAATAATTTTATAACGAGAAACAAAAGAAAAACAAATCTAATATCATAAACTGGTGAATCGAATCTTAAGCACCATTCAAATCCCTAGTATAAGAGATTTAGCTGGACATAGTAATTAAATAAACTCAATTCATGCTTGGGCCATTCTCAAATTTAAAAAGAACAATAATAAAGAAAGAAAGAAACAAGATGGAAAGAGTTTTAGAATAAAAACTGTATCACCAACTATGTTGATGGCGCTTCCTTGAAATCTTGGCCACAATTTTTGATGCTTTGAATCCTTGAGAGAGAAACGAATTATGTAAAGAAATTGCCTAAAAAACGAGAGGATCTAATATATAGAGTTCTTGAAGGCAAGTTTGACTCCTTTTAGGAAATAGAATCCTTATTTAGTGCAAAATCCTTTATAGGAGATCATAACTGTTTAGGTTCTTGATTTTTTCTTGATTAGGACTCCTTTTTCCCCAAGAATAGGTCCAGGTCTTGTTTAGTGTGTTTAGGAAACTCTCCGAGGTTGGCCCATGTGAGAAAAAGCTTGATTTGCGCATTAAATTCTCGCTAGTTCCGCCTGCGCAGCACGGGCGTGCTTCCTAGCACGGGCTGGATGTGCTTTGAGGCACGGGCGTGCCAGGTAGCACGGGCTGGGCGTGCTTTTCTCTGGAAGTCTGGCCAATGAAACACGGGGCGTGCTAGGTAGCACGGGCTGGTGAAGCATTGAGGCACGGGCGTGCCAGGTAGCACGGGCTTGGCATGCTTTTCTCTGGAAGTCTGCCTAAAGTTGCCTTGGGCGTGTTATGCTTGACACGCCTTGGGACCCTTGTAGTACGGCCGTGCCTTTTAGCACGGGCTGGGCGTGTTACCAGTTAAGTGCCTTGTGTTATAAGGTTCTTTTCTGTGCCAAATTCCTGAAATTTTCTCTTATGCTACAAGTCAAGTGCCTTGTGTTATAAAGCTCTTTTCTGCGCCACATAATTATACTAAAAGTGATTTAAAGTAATAAAAACTTTCTCAAAATCTAATAAAAACTATATTAAAAACACTATAAAATTAACACTTATCAGAGGCCTCAAATAACTTTCAAGCGCCTACCGCTGCAATTGCTAGAGTAAACGATGTATTCTGGGAAGAGTCCCTAAGCCTGGCAATCGAGAGCCTGCTATGCTTCGGTAAATGATGTATTAATTTGATTTAAGAAATTCAATTGAATTTTTTACAAAATTATGTTTAGAATTATTCTTAAATAAAAATTTATTTGTCTTCGTTACCTTAAATATACTTGTCAGAATAATTTAACAAAAGCAAATAATAAATGCCAATTATATTCTATTATATCTATCACTAACCACAAAACAAACAACAATCTCTAATACAAACTCTTATTCTCTAAATTCCTTCTCTTACTCAGTTTCCTCTCCATCAGCAGATTCATTGACCATCGACACGGCTGAATCGCATGTAGGTCCAGTTTCCTGTTTAGCAGCAGCAGCAACAACAGATGAGGCCGATTCATCCTGCGATCTAAATCTCACTCTCGCATCTTCTACACTTCAAGCCAATTGGAATCCTTCTTCAGCTAGGACGGCTGTACCACATCACGAATTTCACAGATCTCGAGAATCAAAGTTTAATGATAATGGTAAAGAATTCGATATGATGGTTAGTTCAAATCACAGGAATGGTGGAAATGGGGACACAAATCACAGGAATGGTGGAAATGGGGACACGAATTTATCTTCATCGAAGGAGGCCTCAAATAACTTTCAAGCGCCTACCGCTGCAATTGCTAGAGTAAACGATGTATTCTGGGAACAGTCCCTAAGCCTGGCAATCGAGAGCCTGCTGTGCTTCGGTAAATGATGTATTATGGGCCGTGCTGCTACAGTAAAAGATGTATTCTGGGAACAGTTCGTAACTGAAAGAATTTATTTATAAATGAATTTTTCATGTTTTTTTTCATGTTTAGTATGTCTAGTCGTAATTTGATTTAAGAAATTCAATTGAATTTTTTACAAAATTATGTTTAGAATTATTCTTAAATAAAAATTTATTTGTCTTAGTTACTGAAACAACCCGAATTTTTATTTTCAAAAGTTATTCAATTAAATTTAATGAATCGACAGCCTGGAAATTAATATAAATATTTTAGTGTGAATACTATGAGAAACCGAACTGAAAAACGATTGAAAAAGCCGAAAACCAATTAAAAATCAAAGATTTGGGTCGAATCAAATCGAATCGAACCGGTTCGACCCAAACCATCTAGAAACTCCCTCCTCTCTATATTCAACGCTCACCCCTCACCTCTCACACACTTCCAGTCAGTCTCTCACACACTATCCAGTCAGTCACCGGTGAACCCACAAGCCTTCCCCAGCCACCACCCTCCTCCCTCTCTTCCCCTCCTCCCTCTCTTCTCTTTTTCTTTTTCTTCTTCTTCTTCTTCTTCTTCTTTCTTTTCTTTCTTTCTTTCCTTTTTCCCTTCACTGCGCCTGTGTCTTCATTCGTACCCAGATGTCTCGCATGTCAGCAGGTGAAAGCAGAGCATCAAAGACCTTCTGGATTAATGCAACAATTACCGATACCAGAATGGAAATGGGAAAGGATCACTATGGACTTTGTGGTTGGACTACTGAAAACGCCAGGAGGCTATGATTCGGTTTGGGTGATAGTGGATCGACTTACCAAGACAACTCATTTCTTACCAGTGAGATCCTCTTATAATGCTGACAGGTTGGCAAGGTTGTACGTTAAAGAGATAGTGCGCCTT